TAGGGCTTTTTTAGTGGCAGAGGCTGGGTGGCAGAACAGAGAAGGTTCTCACTGGATCTTTCAGGCTCATGTAAACCACTGAAGCAAAAGGGCCTCTAAACTCTGAATGAAATAGGTAAGTATGAAATAAAACCATATCTCTGCCTTGGGTTTGTATAGCCATTTTTACTTTTCAAAGTATTTCTCTAAGTATGAAGACGGTAGGGCATATATCATGGCTCCCACCGGAAAAGCAGGTGGTATGGGGCAGACTGAAGTTTCCTTTCTGAATCTCTCAGATGCTGTCATGTCTGGGGGACACAGAGTCCCTGCTGGGGCTGGAAGTAGCTGCTAAAAGCCTTGCCTCAGGGTGGCAGATGAAAGGGCCTCTCTGGGTCCTCCTGCTGTAGGGAAGGTGACCTGGGTGGCTTCTCTGGGGCCCTGTTATCCATCCGTGGAATGGACAGTGAAGGGTGGAAGGAATGCTGGGCTCAATCAGGGAAATGGGGCTTGCACAAAGCTTGGCAGCTAACACTGTGTGTGTGTGTGTGTGTGTGTGTGTGTGTGTGTGTGTGTGTGTGTGTCTGGGCATGCTCTCTCTGGGCCTCAGTGCAGGGAAGTCCCTGCCAGCTCTGAGGGCTCAGTCTTGGCTTTCCTTCACTTCCACGGACTGAGGACAGGTGCTGTGCATGTCCCCTAATGGTTGGGGTCAACACCCAGTGTTGGAGGCCCAGCATCTCTACAAACAAATCATCTTCCTACCCAAGCTTCATTCATCCAAATACCACTGGCCCTGAAGCATCTAGTACTGACCACACATGTTATCTCTGCCACCCTGTCCCTGATTTTTTGACACTGCAACGGCCTTCTAACTGGTCTCCCAGTCTCTGGCCTATCCATGCAGCTTCTCATTAATCTTCCTTTAAGCACGGAGGCTGTGATGTTTCCCGAGGTCCTCAAACTGGCGAGGCTGAGCAAGGGGCAGAGTTCTGTTCCCACCGTGCCTCTTGCTTACTTTCTAAAGTCCTATGGCTAGTTTCTTTCCTAGGCCTCCAGGCTTGGCTTCCTTATTTAGGTGGCTAGGAGACCCTAAATAGCTTTTGGGAGTCCCCAAAGAAGAACTAACTCTGAGGAGGAGCAATCTGCCTAAAGTCATGCGGACATGGAGGCTTAGCTACAGTGGGAAACCTGCTGGCCAGGCCCTTGGCCCCACCCGTTCCCTCTCTTCCCACTGCGGCCCTCCAGTTCTGTCCCAGTCCCTCCACCTTGCCCCACTGCCCCAGCCCAGCCCAGCCCTCATGCCCCCCTGCCTGACTTTCTCTGAGTTTCTACAAAAAAGCACCCAAAGAGAGGGCACTAGAGGGGAGAGTACAACAGGGCCAGTACCTTCTGGCTGACTCACCCACTTATACTGGCATTTGGGTCTGGCACCCAGTGGGTATGGGATAGGGTGAGGCAGAAAACCCAAGGCCTCTTGAGAATGTACTGAGGCTAGATGGGGTGAGGCCTAGGAAGGATCTGTTCCTCAAGGCTGGACCACATCCCTGAGAAGCCTGGGCTCCCCACCCTCCAATCTCAGCCTAGTCCAACTGGGTGTCTCAGCCCTCAAAGATGGCAGAAAAAATCATTTGCTTCTCACAGCCTTACCAAGGCCCAGGCTGGGGGGAGTTTGAGGGGTGGTTCTCATTGGGGGCCTGGACCTCCTCTGACACTCCTCTTCATCTCTTTCTCACACATCCTTCTCGAGGCAGCGAGCAGAGTAGAGGTGTGCTGCATGCTATCTTGTAATTCTTCTAGCTGCAGTGCAGGGAGGACCCCTCATGGTGCTGAGAATTCCCCAGTGGCCAGGATAGGCAGATGGAGAGGCCCAGGGTGCAGGGCATTGGTTATGGGGATGGGTTGGAGCTAGGCAACCACAGTGGCAGGACAGAACTGAAGCTGGAAGCAGGGTCAAATTGAGGTCAAGGACCTTTTGAGTTGGAGTTCATAGAAAGGTCCAGGGACCTTAGTTCTTGTAGAGCTAGGCCTCTGAGGGCCTTTGTCCACCTGAAACTGAGGGGAAGGGGAATGTGTCTAGTGGGCCCCTCCTCAACTCTTCCCTACGTCCTGAGACCCAGGGGACCTGCTGCATATCCTCCCTCCTTTGACGCAAGAAAACCAGGGCAGGGCATGGAACTGGAGGATTCATACCTGTACTCCTGACTGTTTACATAAACTGCAGGGTGAGCCCAACCGGGGCCTTTCGGTGGGTTGATCTCTTAATGAGACATTAGTTGGTAATTAGGCATTGTGGTTCCTCCTCCCCTGTGACTCACAGAAGACCTACACAGCAGCCCTTAAATCTACTGTGCAGCCACTTTCTTTGCTGGCTTTGACAGCACCTCAGCCATGCCTCTCAGACATCTGTTCATTCCACAACATCAAAGGATGCCTACTGTGTGCCAGGCACTGTTCTAGGCACAGGGGACGCAGCAATAAACAAGTCAGACCAAAAACCCCTGCCCTCAAGGAACTTAAATTCTGTTGGAGGGAGACAAACAAGAAACAAACAAATCGTAAAAATATCTAGTATTTCAGAGGATGAGAAGTGCTATGGAGAGAAATAAAGCAGGGTGAGGAGTAAAGAGGGATGTGTGTGTGTGTGTGTGTGTGTGTGTGTGTGTTATAGCCTGTTTCTATGCTGATGGGAATAATCCAGTAGAGAGGGTAATACTGATAATGCAATAGAGAGAGAGGGCAAAATTACTGAAGAGACCTCCCCAGCCTCCCCCAACTCTAAGCCAATAGGTGTTGTCCTCTTTGAGGACTTCCATGGGGCACTGGAAATGGTACCAGGCTATGCACAGGATACCTGAATCCTATCCTAAATCTGCCTCTTACTGGCAGTGGGACTCTGTGCCAGCCCATTCATACCCAGGGCTTCCTATGTGGAAAGAAAGTCTTATAACATCAGTGCTGCCTCCCTCCCTGAGTTGTGGTGGAAATCCAGTGAGGTAATAGGTGTGAAAGTGCTTTGTAAAACGTAAAGGGTGGAACAGATGGTTGAGATTATTTTTATTATTCTAATAACACAAAGGATTATTAAACAAATTTAATGGATTACTGTTCATCCAACGCTGCTTGTACAGACAGCCTCCCTACATAGCTGACACACTTGTTGTGACCTGATCTGCACGAAGCTGAGTGACCCTCCATTCATCATGCTCGCCCCCGCTCCCACTCTGCCCTGCACTAACCCCTCTGCTTCCATTTGATCCTGGCAAACTCTGGCTACCCACAGGCTCACTCCCTCCAGTGTGACCCTCCCGCTTTCTTTCCTCCTAGCAAACTTCCCACCCCACCCTTCTAGTCCAAACTTGTCTTTAGCACCTTCTGCCTGGAAAAAAGAGCGCTGGTCCGGCAGCAGAGCAAAGTTAGTGTCGTAGAGTGACCAACCATCCTGGTTTGCCCAAGACTTAGAGGGTCCCTCAAGAAGTGGGACTTTTAATGCTAAAACTGGGAAAGTTCTGGGTAAACTGAAATAAGCTGGTCACCCTAGTCTTGATCAAGGCCAGACTTAGTTGACATATCATCATCTTGCCAGGAAACCTGGGACAAATCACTTAACTTTAGGGTTCAGTTTTCTCATCTGTAAAGGGAGGGGATTGGAGGTTCACTGGATCTCTTCTTAGTCCCGTCCAACCCTTAAGTTCTGAGCCGGGAGGTCATTTACTCACTCCGCAAATATTTACTAAGTGCTGCTATGTGCCATGCACTGTGATCTTCCTGCTGACAGTGGTACCCTGGGAACACAGCACAGCATATCATACATAATAGGTGCTCAACAAAGACCTGTGGGGATGAATGAATGAACTTCCCACACCCCCATTTCTGGCTTGATCTCAATCTAAAATCTCTGTACCTTCTGCTCATAGATCTGATGCCCCATTTCCCCCATTTCTGCTCCCCCCACCTGTCACCCACAAGCCTTTGCAACCTGTGACTGAGCCTAGAACTCTGGCCAGACTGAGCTCAGCTGCATATTCCAAAGGGGGAGAGGACAGTCTGGTCACTGCTCCTGTTGGCAATGGACGTTTACCTTGGACACCCTCCAAGGGAGATGTCACCAATATAAACTTGTCCCCCTGGCTGGATCCTGGAGCACCATCACATTCATAGTTGGAGCCCATCTGAGCAAGGGGGTCTGTGTTGGGCTACTCCAGGCAGATGTCTGCTTCTGGTCACCTTCTGTCCCCTGGGCATCTGCTTCTAGCCACCCCAAGTGGGGCTCTAGAGCCAGACCATCCAGTGGCCAATCTGGCCCTACCGTTTCCTAGGATGCTGGATGACCTTGAGCAAGTTATTTATTGTCTCTGAGCTTCAGGTTCCTCATCTTAATTTGATAACAATAGAACCTACTTCGTAGCGTTATGGTGAGGGTGAAGTGCGTGTGGAGAGCTTGCAGGGAAGGGGGAACAAGTGCTCAATAAATATTAGCTGTTATTGTTATCAGAATCACAACCATTGTCATCAACACTTTCAGTTTGGTGGGAACAGCCAAGAACAAGTCAATCTATTGGGTTGTTGGAAAAGTCGTGACATATTTTTTTCTATGTTTTTGTTGCAAAAATGCATCATTACTTTTCCGACAACCCAATAAGTGCCTCTCTCTCATAGGGTACTTAGAATCCTTGCTCCAAGAAGCCTTCCCAGGTTACCCCTAAAAGGGCAACGGCCAATTGGGTCCACACAATCAGGACACCCTCACTCTTCCACCCCCAAAAGCAGCATTAGCTCTCCCTCTTCCCAGCTGTCTAAAGCTTCAGTCCTCCTGCAACCTTCTTTCCCTCCTCTGTCCAGATCAGCTGGTCTGTCTTGGAGACCAGAGAAAATTCCCTAACCTTAGCACTGAGCCCCACCCTGCCCATCGGTGTTTCACAGCGGTTCAGGGAAGAGGCCTATGAGGAAGGCAAGGATGGTGGCGGGACCTGGGGAGATGATCAAAGACTGAGAAGGCAGGGCCCCCAGGGAGCTGCACTCACCAATGTAAATACACTTGCTCCCAGCACGGCATACACTGCGTGGAGCCAGGGCACCTGTGGGGCAGATGCAAAATGGGCTTAGGGATAGTTAGATGGGGCGGTGGGGCAAAGGGGCAGGGAGAAGGGCTCGGTCCAGATAATGGAGGGTGTGGGACAGACTTCCCCAGTGGGGCCCTCTCACCGCCCCCAACCCTCTCCAGCAGTCCCTAAGAAGCCCCAGGACCAAAAGGGTTCCTTGATTCTCTGTGTGCTCAGGTAGTGTGGGGGAACCCCAAGATAAAAGTGATCATAGAGGGCCTGGCAGGGGAGTGCCCAACCTGCTTGGCACTTGTTTTCTCCACACACAGCCCCAGGCACAGGCAGCACAAGAGTGACTTATCCTATTGGGGCTCTGTCATCTTCCCAGCCCGGGTCTGGCCTGAGGCTGCTCCCTCCTGCTGTCCTGTACAGGGTCTATCTGTCTCTCTGTGGGGAGTTCCCAGGCTCTGCCTATGCAGGTAAGGGGCTCAGGTGGAAGGGGACAAAGACTTGAACTCAGGGGTGTGGTGGGTGGCTATCTGGAATCCTGCCAGCTGTGTTTAATGGGATTACCTGCAGAGGCTAGAATGGCACCTCTTCCCAATCTCAGGTTCCCCCAGGTCTCAGGGGCACCCAGCTGTGTGTGGAAACTCCATAAGAGGTGCCACACCAGCTGTGCCCTCTGTAGGGACTTCCCCCTGAATATTTCTGGAAGCACAGGCATTCCAGCAGCCCGACCTGAGTCAATAAAGGTTTCTTTGAAGCTCTGGGGCCCCTTCCTGTACCCCCTTTCCTAGATACACAGAGGGCCTCAGGCCAGCTCTGGCCCCTCCTTGCGTCAACAGGATACTGGGAAGAGCCAAGGAAATGCCAGAACCAATGCCGCTGTCCTGAGAGCCAGTGCCCTGGGTGCTGGGGCTCAAAGGATTGGGTGGGGGCAGGTGGGGTGAGGACCACTGCTCTCAACCTGGCAGAAAAGGGGCCGTGAGGGACCGTGTACCAAGAGGAGCAAGGGGCGGGTATAAGCACTGAGCCTCCAGCAGGGGTCCAATAGCTTTATCTCTTGGGTTCCCAGGATTTGAACCTCTGGCCCCTCTTGTGATGCCCTCAATCAGCCTGGGCACCTGGAATGGGCCACTGAGTCCTGAACAGTTCTAACTGGGCTTCCCAGGGCATGTTGGACACTTGTAAAAGAGCTGAGATTTGGCTGGCCTCATGGATGCTCATTGGGGTGGGGATAGGCTCAGGGCCCACTTCGCTAACCCCCAGCTGCCTGGCTGGCCAGTCTGCCTCTCTGGACTTGGCTGATGCCCCAGGACTCCCAGGAGGCCCTTCCTCAGAGCCCCTCTGGGCCTGGTGGTCCCGGGGAGCTCCAGGCTCCCTCCCCTGCCAGGGGTTTAAATGCTCCATGGCGCCCCTCCCTGCAGCCTCACCCCCTCCACTGAGAAGGGAGGACGGAAAGGTGAAGCCGGATGTGGCTCATGAAGCAGGCAGGTGCCCAGGCCTGCCAAGAAAGGCCTCCTTGTTGGTTTGCTTACACTGCCAACAAGCCCAGGGCAGGTGCCAGGAGGGGCCGGACAGGATGGGAGGCTGTAAGCCTTTGGCTCTGGGCCTTCCCTGGAGGGTGTGGGAGGAAACAGCACCCTTGGGCCGGTGGGCCCCCCTCCGTCCCCATGTGACCCACTGGGAGCGCCTGAGACTCACGTATTGGAAGGGCAGGAGGATGGCCAGGATGAGTCCACTGAAGAAGAGAGTCATGAGCAGCACGAAGAGCACACCCTGGCAGGAGGTGAAGTCAAACTGCAAGGACGGGGCAGGTGTCAGCCGTCGGGCTGAGGTCTATACGACAGGCCACTGCCTAGTGCTTACTCCCAGAACCTAGTGTTCTTACTCCCCTCCCCCATGTGGTCTCCCCAGACCCAACTCACCCCCTTCACCAGCTCAGGATCTAAGCTTGCAGCCCCTCACCTCATCTCCCTGCCCACGGGCCCCAGAACTGACCTTGGTTTGGAAGCTGAAGACGGTGACGGAGAGGCAGACCAGGGCGGTGATGCCCAGGCACAGCAGCACAGATGTGGTGTTGTAGTAACTGCAGGACCACAGGCCAGGGGTCAGCCTCCAGCAGGCCTACCCTCTTCTGCAGGGACCTGGTCCCCTGACCTCTCTCTCCCTTTTCCCAAGGTCCTCCCTTACCTGCTTCCCTGGCCTCTCTCCTTGGAGGGGTGGGAGGGGTTTGTGCTGGTGCCTGGAGGTGGAAACTTTATGACCACAAGTCTGGGGTCTTTTAAGCTGCAGCCTGACAGGAGTCCCCTTGCATCTCCCACCCCACCCCATGGACCTAGAGGCTCTGTCCAGTAGAGTGTATGGGGAGATGGCTGTAGGCCAATGTTTCCTGCCTGCCTGAGTCCCCTCCTCCATTCAAATGCTCCCAGGAGGGATGGTGTTTGGGGGGCAATTCCCCCAATGTGTCCAGTCCTTGGCTCCAAGCTTGGCCTAAGGCCCCCTCCCCCACCACCTTTTCCCCTTTACCTGGACAACATCCCAGTGAGGTAGGCCATGGACAGGGTCTGAAAGAAAAAGCAGGAATGCTCCAGAACTCGGACTTTGAGGCCCAGACACCTTCAAGGATCAGCCCAGGTCTCCACCCCTTGCATATACCCCTTAACTCTATGTCTGCTCCGCTCACACACACATTTACTTCCAGGACTCAGGCCTGGCGAAGGAGCCTCTTAGGTTTTGCGCCAGCTGTGCCTGTCTTCCTTTTGCAGCCCTGCTCTGCTCCCATTTCTAAGAATCCCCTTCCCCTTCCCACACTTTTAATTATCCGTAGCTTTAGGATGTCCCATACAAACCTCTTAAAAACCAAATCACAATGAAAAGAGACAGCGGATGGAGTAGCGGGGAGACTAAGCCCATTTGGAAAGAGAGGGTGGAACATCTCTGTGGAAGAAGTGGGGTGAAAATATACCCCTGTCTCCCCCAGTGACCTCACATTAGACATCCCCAGCCTAGACTTCCTGGCATTCAAAGCCTATCCTCCCTCCCTCCTCCTTTCATCCTCACTTGGCATCTCCCCCCAGCCACCCCCAGATCACTTACAAAGATGGTCAGGAGAATCAGGTTCCAAGGAAAATACCTCCTGCAAGGCAAGCCACCAAGTTCAGAGGAGTGTGGGGGTGCCAGCAGCTGCAGGCTGGGTCACTGCAGCAGGGAGGGGGCCCAACCCCATCCCCACTTCTTGGAGGCTGTTTCTTCAGCCATATTTCCATGTACCCCACCCTCCTCCCACCTCAGAGGTGTCAAGTAAAGGAGGGAGGGGTAGGCTTGCTTGATGGAGTCCAGAGATGGATGGGGCCCTCTCAAGGGTACACAGCACAATGGAATGGTGGAAGGCAGGACTGGGGTCAGAATGCCCAAGCTCTTGCTCGTGTCCCCACAAATTGCTCTTCAAACCATCATCATACCTAGATCCAGAATAGCAGGCCAGGGTCAGGTAGGTCGCAAAGAATACAGCGCTGTGAAAGACAGATGGTGAGTCAGCCAGTCCACCCTGAGGCCTCTCCATTCAGTCCCCTGTTTATCCCACTCTCTACCCACACAGGGAGCCAGGCAGGGTGATGGGGGCTGGGGTAAGGCTACAGTCATCCTAGAACTTAGCAATGGGCACGTTGCTGGTCTAATTCTAAAAGAGAGGGAGGTGAATAGGATGAACCTGTTTCTAGAAATACTTGGGTGCCATGGGACAGCTGACCACCCAATCTAAAATGGTCTCCCTGGACAGTACCTTATTACTTCAAAGAAAAAGCTCATATAGCAGTGTTTTTTATGTGCCAGGTAGAGTGTTAAGTGCTTTATAAATGTTAACTAATGTAATCCTCATATCTTCTCTATGAAGCATGCGCTTCACTTTACAGCTGACGTACAGTGAGGTTAGGTGACTTGTCCAAGGTCATGTGGCTACCACGTGGCAGAGGCAGGATTAGAACCCAGGCACTCTGGCTCCAGAATCCTAGCCCCATGCTGCGTTCTTCAGGCACTACCTGTAACAATCCTATTAGTTATAATACTTTATTGTTGGTCTACCCTACTAGACTGCAAGCTCAGTAGGCAGGGCCCTTGTCTATCCTGCCAGCACCTGGCACAAGCAAAAAGTACCTGCGGCATAAATTTCTGGATCAGGTGGCTGGCAGAGAGACTGACAGGGAGCTCAGGCACAACCCAAAGATAGGGATGGAAGGCTGAGGATTTTCTGGAGAGCAGTGGAAGTGGAGGCAAGTCTAGAAGGTGGACGATGAAGGCTGAGGATCCAAGGGTAGGACATGCTCATACCTACCTAGATTGGTGCCACCACTAATGCATGGTCTCCAGCCCCCAGTAGGCTCTCTGCATGGCATCTGCCATCCTTTCCCACCTCCCTCCTTGGTTCTCTCACACATTCTCCACAGCAGCAATTCCAACCATCCTCCCCCATCCCTAAACCTCTCAGGCTGCCTCACTCTTATGCATGGTCTCTGGTCTGATGTGTCCCTAAAAGATCTGAGACGAGGTGGGGCTCCCTTGCCTCCCTGCCCACCATCACCTGCAACCATCACATCAGCATCTATGTGCCCTTCCTCCTGTCCCTCCTTTCATCCCATACCAATCCCCCCAGCCTGAGCTCTGGGTCCCACTCCTCAACTGCCCTGCCATCTCTATTACCTAAACCTTTCTACTGCTACCTCTCCTCCCACACAAACCTCCTCAGCTATTTTCCATCTTTAACCAACATCTACCTTGGTTCTAGCTATTGCTACCTCATCCAACCCACAGCCAAGCTTCTTTAAAAAGTTATCTCCATTCACTGTCTTCTTCTTTATCTCCCAATTACTTCCCAACCCGACAAACCCAACCTCGGATTTATTTAATGAGAGCTGGCTCTGCCACATCACTGTGACCTTGCTGAGTCCGACACTTGTCAGTTCATATGTTACCCGACTTCTCAACTACATCTGATCTCTTCGTTGTTCCCCTGATTCCACAATTATATACTCTTGGGTCCCCTCCTACCTCCCTGGCCAGTCCTCCTCAATGTCCTTCAGAGTATTTCTAAATATGTCTCCTTCCTTCCATGCATAGGGTCCTGTGGGGTGACTCTCCCGTCATGCTCTCCCTGGGATTCCCTTTATCAGGGAAGTGCTTATGACTCACACCCGTATTTCTGATCTAGATTTTCCTTCTCAACCAGAGACTTAGATTTCAAATTGCTTCCTGGGCAGACATGGCTATTCAGAAACGTGCCAAACTCAACAGGTTAGACCTAAACTTGCCCTCTTCCCTGTTCTCCTGCATCCTTATTGCAGAAGACATCATGTACCCTCCAAGTCACCCAACTAGAGGCCTCCGCATCATCCTTGACTCTCACGCTGCCATGCCCAATTAGTCACCTGGACCTGCTGATCCTCCTACCCAGGTAGCTCTCAAATCTGTCCTCTTCTCTCCATTCCCGTTAAGGTCAGGCCACCTCTCTCTGGTAGATCCAATCATGGGACTCCCCTGTTTAAAATCCCCAAAGACCTGGCAATGCCTTGCATGATCCACCCCTGCCTACCTCTCCAACCCATTCCTCTCCACACTCCACCCCTCCACTGTCCCCTCTCATCACCCTCTGCATCCTTACACTGCTCCTGCTGGAAAGGACCAATAAGCAAGGACTCCTGAGGCCTGGGTTACAGGGACTTTCTCCGTGTACCATGGGCATGCCTTAACCAAAGCCTGCATCCTCACACCCCATGGCCCTGCCCCTTTGACTCCCAGGTATAACATCTGGGGGATCAGTGTGCGATCTACTCATTTCGTATCCCCCTTCCTTCTTTTTTTTTTAAAGTTTTTTTATTGGGGAATTGGGGGGATGGGAACAGTGCTGGGGAATTGGGGGAAGGGAAACAGACAAGTTGCTGTTGTTTTTTTTGTTCTTCAATCTAGTTGTGGAGGATGTTGCTTCACTGGCCCAAGTTGGCACCATCATTGCACTCTTCCCGGCCCTCATATGTGGGATCCGAACCGGGGCCCTCTGGCATCCCAAGCCAGTTCTTAACCAACGCGCCACTCGGCCAGCCCTGTATCCCTTCCTTCTAACCCAGGGTCTGGCACAGGTGAGGTGATCTTTAAATCTTTCTGGATGAAATGCAAAAGGACAGGGAATATAGGGTCGAGACAAGCCTATTGGATTTGGTGAACAGGAGCCTTCTGTCTTCACCCTTTCCTATTCTTTAGGGGTTCTCGAATAATGTGGAATGGCTGTCACAGCAACTGAGGGGTTTCGGCGCCAGGCAAGGACTGCTGAACGTCCTGCTCCAGAGGGGCAGGAGAATCTCCTGTCCCGGTTGAGAAACACCCCAGCATCTGATCTCTTTCGGTCTCATTTGGGTCATTAGTCAGTCGCTTCAACAACAATAATAATACCGTATCTATGTGTGTCCTGCATGTGGGTCCTGTCCCCACTTGGCTAGACTGGAAGCCTCCTGGGAACAATGGCCAGTCTCATTTTATCTCTCTGGTCCCTAGTTCCTCAAACCACAAGACAAACAGTCTGGAGGAAGGGCAGAGGGACTCACGCCCCGGGGGTCATGCTGCAGTTCTGGAACCTGACACTCGCATTTATATCCCAGCTCCGCCACTACTATCACGTGACCTTGAACAAATTACTTAATTGCAGAGCCCCAGTTTCTGCCTCTGGAAAACAGAAATATTGGTACCAACTCACTGGGCTGTGGTGAGGATTGAATGAAAGAATACACATCAAGCATTTAGCGTGGGGCCTGGCATGGGGTAAGAACTTGAGGAAGGCAGCTGTTATAATAAGACTGACAGCTTCCTGGAGAGGCTCCGACCCTCCTCTTCCTAGCTCTGGTCTGGCACTTTTCCTGCTCTGCCTGGTTCACCCACCCCCACCCCATAGCCGTTACTCCATTCTACTTTAGGGAGGCCAGCAGTTCTCACTGCCATAGCTCAGAGGGAGCAATCAGACAGTAAGGCAAGAGCCCACTGAGGGAGCTGACTGGGGCCTCAAGAAAGCTGCGGGGAGCGGGGAGGAGGGGTCTGGAAGGCTGCCATCCCAGGGGGCAGAGAATGCGTCATAGCAGAGGTGAGAGAAAGACTGACTTGCACGTCAGAGCCTGGAGCCCAAGGCCTGGACAGGGGCCGTAGTCTGTTTAGAGCATCAGGACAGAGGAGTGAGGCTCAGGTAGAGGCCAGGGTCTAAACCCAGAGTCCTCCCCTATGTGTCCTGCTCTAGGACCAGTCCTGGGCCACGAGGGAGGCAGCAGGGCACTGAGGGGAAGGGCATGAGCTTTGCATTCAGAAAGACTGGGGGCTTAGATCCTGGCTATGCTGCTTCGGAATAACGTCTCTCTGAGCTTCAATTTCCTCATCTGTAAAATGTGAATAATAATCGTGTCTGCCTGGTAGGGTTGTTGTAAGGATCAAATGAAAAATATCTGTAAAACACTCAGCACAGCACCTCACACACATTTAAAAACAAAAAAAGAGAAGAGCGGGCCGGCTGAGTGGCGTGTTGGTTAAGAGCTGGCTTGGGACGCCAACTCTGAGCAGCAGGGCCCCAGTTCAGACCCCACATGAGGGCCAGTGACGCTGCACCTTCTACAGCTAAGATGGTGAACAACAGCTCAACCTGGAGCTGGGCTGCCGTGAGTCGCTGGTGATGGCATAGGCTGTAGCCCCTGCTGCAGTGGGCTGCCATGAGCTACCTCGAGTGGCTGGCAGCCAGCATGAACAGCCGGCAGCCACCGTGAGTGGCAGTCCAATGGCCGGCGAGCGACTGCCTCAGCCGGGAAGAGAGCAATGATAATACCAACATGGGCCAGTGAAGCGACGTCCTCCACAACTAGACTGGAGAACAAAAGGACGGCAACTTGTCTGTTCCCCTTCCCCAATTCCCCAACACTGTTTCCCTCCCCCAATTCCCCAATAAAATCTTTAAAAAATAATAATAATAACTATTTTATTCTTATTGCTATTAAGGGCTTAGTATGTTGGAGGAGGTGAGACCAGTAGGTCTCAGACCCGGAAGCAGGTTCAGGGGGCAGGATGGACAGAGTTGAGGGGTGGAGATCAGGCAGACCAGAGCCACGGGCTGCTTTTCTGGAGAAAAGGGCAGCAGCTTGGTGGCAGAATTCCCAAGCATGGTGAAGGCTTTTTGACAGCTCATAAAAAGCACATGGTCTATGCCCATTTCTGATTCCTCTCCACCCCCTCCCACCTGAGCCAGGGAGGGCATCCCTGTTTTCTGCCTGGAGAAGCTGAGGAGGGGTGTTGATAAAGCTCACCATTCAGAGCCCAGATTCTCATGCCTGCCCTCAGTGGGCTAGACTCTGCCCCCACTTCCAAGCCTGCTCATTTCTTGGCTGTCCCCTTGCCACCATCTGCTTAGGGCATGGTGTCCTACAGACCTTCCCACAGAAGGCCTGAAGAGGGGCCTCGGGGTTTCATTTTTGAGTTCTCGGGGCACCTGAGGCTACCAGGTGGTGTTGATGTGCTGGGAGCCATGCCAACCTGCTGTATGAGCTGGCCCCGGTGGCAGTCCCTGGGGCCTCGTTAGCTTTACCACACAGTGCCTCTCAGCTCCCTTAAAACATATGCCTTCTGCTTGGTCTGTAGACAGGCTCTCTATCCTGTGCCCTAGGAAAGGCTTTGGGTGTGAATGGTGCCTCTCCTGGGACCCACAACTTGATCAAGCTCCCTCTCCACTCCTCCTCTCCTCCAAGGAGCCCCAGAGACCAGAAGTCTCCTTCTCATCAGTCCCTGGTTGGCTTGTATAACTCTAGGCCCTCTCTGGGACTGTTCTGGGCTCAGGGTGGTCCAGTGGGCTTGGGCTGAGTGCATAGCCCCACCAGATCCTTTCCAGGAACAGGCTTGGGAGAGCCCTAGTGTGTAAGCTTCTTGGCCAGGCATTCAGAGCCTCTGCCCCATAAGGCCCCACTGCTCTCTGAGATGTCCCAGAGTCCCCTACATAGAGCCTTCCAGTCCTCTGACAGCCTAGTTCCTAATTTACCCAAGGTACCATGTTCAGTCCCACCGCCATGCTTTTGCTTAAGCTACTCCAGTCTCCATCCTTTTAGGCGCACCCTCGATGTAGACTGAGAGCTTTGTGTACCGGGCTCATGCCTTCCCTCCTCTCTCCTCTGGACCCCACTCTTTCATATGCTGCTTTGTGCTGCCCATTACCTTCCCCTCCTCTCCAGCAGCCCCAGTACAGAGCTGGGCTAACAGTGGGTGATGAAGGAGACTTTGGGGAGAGCCGTTTTGCTCTGAGCCCAGGATGGTTCCAGCCTGGAATTATCCAGAATGACCACTTAATAGCCCAGATAGGAGGGTCAGAATCACCTACACCATCAAACCTCTTCTCTCAAGTTACCTGCCACGTTCTTTAAAGAGTGTAGAATGACCAGGAGCTGAGTGGCTAGAGACGGAGTCTGCCCAGCAGAGGGATTAAGAGCATAAGTTTCAACCTGAATCCTGGGTTTGAATCCCAGCTCTACCAATAACTAGCTGTGTGACCTTAGGCAAATTAGTCAACTTTTCTGAGCCTTAATTTTCTGAGAAATCACACCCAGTAGATTTGAGGAACAAATGCAATACCATATATCAAACACAGAGAACAATGCCCAGCCCTTATTAGGTACTCTATAAGTAGTAGCTATTATAATTAATAACTCAACTTGTAAGCATGAGTAACAACAATGTAATTATTGTGGGCCAAGGTGTCCCACTGCCCCTTCCCTCAGGGCCAAGGTCTGGGTCGCTGTAGCCATAGCTCCGGCCCAACCCTTCCCTCCTTGTGCAGGCACCAGAACCTACCTACACCTATCTCCTCTCCTCCCCCTAGGATCTAATTACCCCAAAAGGGCCCTTCTGGCCATACTCTTGTGAGAACAGTTCCTATGGGCTGAGGAGAGGCCATGAGCTTGCATTCTGTCAACAGAGATTTCCTACCATGTGCTGCTGAGGGTTCTAGAAAGAGGCTTGGGGTATACTCACTAGGATGCCCAGTACCAGCCCGGGTTGGCCTGGATGTAGTCCTTAACGGGGTCACTGCAGAGAAGGGAGGGAGAAAGAACAACAATTTACCCTCTGTCTCTGTTTCTGGTTCAACATTTGCACCTGCCGCCCCCCCCCGCCCCCCCCCGCAGTTCACAGGACTTGAGAGGAAGAAAGGAAGCATGCACCCCTGGTGGCTTAGGGAGCCCCAGCCGCAGTCCCAGGCTGGGACTCGGAGGTGTCTAGGTGTGGGGCTGGAGGACCTGAGAGGAATGACGGTCTCATAGACACTTGCAGGCCCAGAAGGCAGCGGGTCTACCCCACCCTGGATGGAGGACTTCTCCGTGTGCGCTTTCTAAGGTTCTCCCCTGGCACGAGGACGTCGACAGCCCCACACAAATCTCTTCATGCAAACATCCCAAGAGAAGCCTGGTTCTGATCCACCCCCTTCCCCCAGGCCTGGCCACAGACATCCCTGGAAAGTGCCAGTCTACACAGCTAACTCACCAGAAGGTGAAGAGCGCCACGACACCCAAGGTCACCAGCAGCTGGATCAGCAGGATGGTGTAGACCTGGAGGTGGGAGGGAGTTCTGCTCAGCTTGGGGAGCCCTGTTTGAGGCCAGCGAGGTTGCAGTTCCCTGTGAGGCTCGGGGAGGCCTCAGCTCCCCTGTAACTCAATCTACTTTCCAGACAAGCACCCTGTGCCCTCCACCCTCCTTCTTGAGGGCCAGTGGAACAGAACCAGGACAAGGTAAAAGGGGAGTAAAGACATTGCAGGGCCCACACCCACGGGCAAAGGGGCCCACAGTCTCTGGAGAGAAGAGGCAATACTCATGTGTTTGGGAATAGCAGGGAGCAGTGGGGTGAGACCTAAGGAAGCACTTCCCAACAGGTACTGTCAGCTGGCATCACAAGAAAAGGGGAGATGGTGGTCTCTGCAGGTAGAAAGCTGGACCGGGGGCTTTTCAAGGGGCTCCCCCAAGCCACTTCCTCAGTCCTAGAGAGCTGGGGAGAGGCAATTACCTTTCTGATGAAGACTCGGCGAACTTTCTGGTCATCCCAACTGAAAGTGGTGAAGAGCTCATGGTCTCCAGTGGGGAAACCGCTGTCATAGCTGGAGCTGCTGCCTGGGTGGGCAGAGGGAGGGCCATGAGGACGCCAATACCTATAAATATAATACTGACCCTAACGGTCACCTGTGCGGAGCTGCCTTTTCTCAAACTGGTTCTCTGGGCCATCCCAAGTCTTTCTCTCCAGGCCCATTTTCAAACCTCCCACTCCATCCCCAGATCTTTCTCCCCAGTTGCTTTTCACCTTTCCTGTTCTGAGCCCTGAGAATAAACTACCATTTCCCTTTTCTTTCCCTTCACCCTGACTGGGATTCCCTGGGGGCCAAACTCCCTGGGGTCACAAATGTGACCATTTCCTCTCGTGTCCCCCACCTCCCACCCTGGACACTCTGTCTTCCTTGTGGCTAAGAATCAGAGAGGGACAAACACACTCCCAGGGCTACCTAGCGCATCTCAGGGTGAAAGGTCCTGATTCCAGCTTGTTCTGAGACCCTTGGGGTGGAATCTGGGGACTTAGTTTGATAGGGGGACCTGCTGGTGCTCTAGCTGGGAACCAGGACTGGGGGAAGACTGGAGGGGAAATAAAGCCACAACAAGGCAAGAAGTGAGGTGTGGGTGGGGATGAAATTTGGGGGCTGGTTCCAGAACTCAGGTTTTCAGAAGAGCAAGTGCTCCACAGTCCAACAGGCCCATATATGGCTCCTGCTCTAAGATTGACTAGCTGTGTGACCTTGAGCAAATCACCAGCCATCTCTGATCTCTTCTATGATATGGGCCAGTGATACTCACTTCCTGGGACAAAATGAGATAAAAGCGAAAGCCTCTGGCTCTGTGCCTGATGGAGGCTTCGCTGCCCTTTCCCTTGGACCCACCTGGGCCATTCCTCACATGTGTCTACTCTGTTTTCCTCCACTGTCCCTGACAGTTTCTACATGATTACCTCCTCCATAGCAATAGACTCAAACTTGGCCTTTCAAAGCTGACCATGGCACTGCGCTACTTCAAGCTCTTCGATGGAGCCCCTCTGCTTTTTACTCAAGTTCAAGTTCATTAACAAAACCTCCCTAACATCCCACGAGCCCTCCAGCCTTACTGTACTTTACTCCCTCCTACTTTTCTCCAGACTGACTATATTTTTTCAGCCCTGTGTCCTCTTGCTATTGGGTCTCTGCACATTCCGTTCTTTCCTTCTGAACACTCATTTCCCTGCCTCTTTACCAGGATAACTCATGGCCAGACTATGGAGGAGGAGAAAAGGAGAGCAGAGCAGTCCTGCGGGCATCTGGGGAAGTGAGAAGGCTCCCACGAACATCAGACCTCTATTGGCCTTCCAGTAGGTCACAGCAGGGTAGGTGTGTGTGGGTCTGGGAGGAGAGGTTTTGTGGTGAGTGGTGTGGCTCATGATGGCTACTCTTTGTGAGTAGAGGCTCTGTCTGAGGCATTGTCCCCAGGATCTCTTCTAGAATTCTGTTGGGAGTGGGGGTGGGGCGGGAGTGATAAGGTGAGAGAGGGGGATTGAGAGGCTGATGGGGCTGAGGAAGATTTGAGAAGGGACCCTTTCTTATAGTTTGTGGGGAGCTGTAGGGTCTCAGCCCTGAGGCAAAGCTCCCACAGGCTGCTCAACCTAATTGAGGGGCTCCCACCAGCTACAATTCTTAGTCTGCAAGGAGCTGCCATCAGCCTGGGTGAGTCTGCCTATAAATTATTCCCAGTCATGAGGGACACTGGCAGCCACACACCTTCCCACATCATGTCCCCAAACAATGGCTCGGGGAAGGGAAAAGAGACAGGAGAGTGATGGGTGAAGTGGGTCCTCAGGCCTCTGGCCCCCAACACCCCTGGGGTTTTCATGGGGACATGTCCTCACTAAGGTTTCATATCAGCTAACATATAAGCATGCTGTACCCTCACTCACAGGAAGCCAGCCCCAGCTAAGGCCATGGCCAGATACAGCATCAGACTGCCCCTTCCTGCATCCATTCTGTCATCTCCCCATCCCTTCTCTGCATCCCTTTCTTCTAGGAGAGCCTTTCTAGACTAGCCCCTGGTTTTTCTCCCTGCATCTGTCCCCTGTTTGCCCTAGCTTGGTGACTTGAAAAAGTCCCCTCATCCCCATCCAAGAGCACTCTGACTGCAGACATTGTATATCTCCCTTTCCATGGCGTCCTTCACCTACCCTCAGAACAGTCCTCCAAAACCCAAGCCTTTGAAAACAGAGCCTCATACAACAACCACACAGTACGTCTACTTCTGGGCAACGTCCTCCTACCCACGTTTTCCGTGTGAGCCCTCCACTCCCCCTGATGCTCCAGTCTGCAGGAGCTGAGAGACTTACTGGGGTCCACATAGGCCCAGACAGGGTGGAGCGGCACAGACGAAGGGGCTGCAGGGAAGGTCCCTGCCTTCAGCCCCTCCCCGGAGGTGGCCTCCTCATAGGAGGGCGGGGCCGAGGGCACTGCTGGAGACCCCTTGTCACCATTCACTTGCTGCTGCCCCTCAGTCCCGGTCCCAGTTCCGGTCCCAGGGGCCTTGTTAGCCACGGAGAGCTGTGGAGTAGAGGCAGAGAGAGATGGTCACCAAGGATGGGGCACCCACCCTTCCAAGCACTCCTCACCAGCCCTCAATTTTGGAAGTTCCATGGGTACTGTCTCACCTGCACTAGGAAGGGTGGCGGTACAGACCAGAACGTGGTATGTGCATATGTATACAATGAAATATTATTCAGCCTTAAAAAAAAGGAAATCCCTCCGTTTATGACAACGTGGATGAACCTGGAGTGCATTAGGCTAAGTGAAATAAGCCAGACACAGAAAGACAAACAACGCATGATCTTACTTATATATGGGGAATCTAAAATAGTCAAACTCATAGAAGCACAGAGTTGAATGGTGGTTGCCAGGGGGTTGGGAGTTGGGGTAAATGGGAAGATGTGGGTCCAAGGGTACAACGTTTCAGTTATGCAAGATGAAAAAGTTCTGGAGATTTAATGTAACTGGTTAGTAATACTGTATTGTGTACTTAAAATCTGCCGAGAGGGTAGATCCTAAGTATTCTTGCCACAAAAAGGAAGGAACCACGTGAAGTGATGTATCGATATGTTAACTAGCTTGATTGTGATGATATTTCACAATGTATACGCATATCAAAACATCAAGCTGTATACCTCATATATATACTATTTCTATACTCATACCCCAAATAAAGCTGGAAAAAATCTCCCCATTTTATAGATGAGAGAACTGAGCTCCAAGAGGGTCAGGGCTGGCCAGGGGCACACACTGGAGCTGGGATAAGAACTGAGGAAGGAGAAAATTTTTAGGATAGCTCTCCACTGGTGATGACTGTCCCCAGGGCAGAGACTGGGTCAGTATGGTTTCACTGTTTCCCTGGGATCCAAGGAGGGGCCTGGCACATAGTAGGGCCTCAAGAGTATTATTGAATGAAACGTTCTCTCACTTAATCTCTCTGCTACCTTGCTAGTTGTATTTTGATTTGTTTTAAAATGAAGAAACTGAGGATCAGAGAGGAAGAATGACTGGTCCAAGGTCCCAGAGCCACACATGGCCCACTGGCCTGCAACGCCCAGGCACCATCCACTGGGACTGGTCTCCGTCTGCTCGGCTGGAGATGACACAAGGAGAGTGGGGTGGGAGAGCAGGGAAACAGGAAGTGGGGAGGAGAGTGGGGAAAGAGGAAGAGGAATGGGGTCTGAAGGGAAGAGGAAAGGCAAGAGGCCCCATTTGAGGGTCCTGTCCTGGCCTTGTCCTATTGAAATCTCAGCCTCTCTCCCGAATCGGAACAGACTCCCAGAATGTCACTGGTGGAAAGGATCGCAGAAGTCATCTGATTCAGCCCCTTTCTTCAGTTTACAGATGAGGAAACTGAGGCCCAGAGGGAAATGCACTTGTGGCAGGTTGAAAACTCAATTCATTTACATTTAGATGTATCCCCTGCCCCACAATGTATACATTTAGCTTTGGTGAGAGGATATGAGCTGCAAGGGCTTAAACTACACTGCCAGAGAAGGGAAGGTTAGTGGGGGTGGGGGGTGGGGTGGTATGAAAACTGAAACAAAAACAAAAGGACCAAACCTCAGAAAATGGGATTTAGGTCTGGTTCCAAAAAGATTGTGTTAAACCTGAAGGGCCACTGAGAAAGGCCTCAAAGTCCCTTCTTTGCAGGTGCATCTAGCTGAGGCAGCCTGGCGTTGAGCAAGCACCAGATCTCTGCTCTCATCCAGACCTGAGGACCATTGAACCGGGGATCTTTTCTAGCACCAGAAAGCCTGTGAGTAAACTGGGGGAGATGGGGAAGAGGAGGCAGGGGTAATACATTCACCCCAGGACAGGAAGCAGCATCAGCAAAGAGACTGGTGGAGGTAGGGGTGGGGAGTGGAGGGGGAGGATCAGGAGAGGGGGGAGCGCTCATTTTCACCACAGTAAACACCCCGCAGGCTTCCTTGGGGAAGAGCGTAGGAGCTCAGGCCTGTAGGAAGGGGGCCCTGGCTCATCTGCTCCCCTCCCACTCCCCAACCTCCATCATCACCCAGACCAGGAGCATCATGTCCAAGAAAATCCACTTCAGCCCCCCAGAACCAGGGTCCTCTGAGCCCAGTCCCAGGGCTGGTGCCTGGGAAAAGGATGATTACCTCTGAATTCAGCCCTGTCCAAAGCTGATCCTCCTCACCAGTCCCCACCCTGCCACTCAATCTCCCAGAGCCTCCTGGGTCATGTTCCCCATATACACACACATCTGGCATTCCCTATTGGGGTCTGCCCAATAGCAGGTGGTGGTATCACCTAATGACATCATTTTGAGGCCTAATGAGCTTAAAAACAGGGAGAGAAGGGTCTGAGAGCCCAGGGAAGGTTGCCATTGGCTCTGAGCCTCATCTTATAGAAAAGAGGGAGAATGTAGGGGAGGTCCTACTTCAGTTTTCTTGGCCCAATCCTTAGCACATCTAAACAGAAGGCCAGAGGACCCTCCCCCTTTGCCCCAAGCCCTGGTGGTTGTATAATTCCACAGGCTGTTGATGTTATATAATCCTACTAGGCCAGCCAAGTCTCTGCCCCAACCCCTCCTCAACATTTCAGGCCTAGAACTGGTAAAAAGAGAGAGAGAGAGCGAGAGAGCGAGAGAGCGAGAGAG